GGGATCCAGTGCAGACGAGGCTGTTAGCAGCGTCCTCACAAATGTTGTGGCCACTGAGGTACACGATTCCTGGTTTCTGATACCTTTAAGACCTGATTGGATCACTTCAACAAGCAAAGGATGTGCCAGGGAATAACCACTCTCAAAGTAGAGATTTATTAAGAGTTACAAAAACAATACGCAATCGACACTAAAAGCAATGATGGGTAATGTGAATTGTGCGTGCACACATAGCATACATACATATACGAGCTTATGAACGGTGCAGCCTGTTTGACTGGTGCTTTGCTCAAGCTGTGACGTGACACAGAATCGGCAGAACTATGAGTATTGTTCAGGGTCATGGGTGGGAAGTGATTTTTTGTCGTTTTGCCTCAACATTTCTCCATTTACAATGCATTTCCCGATCCGAAAATCACATCAGTCTTGCTCAGCATAATTTTACCTGGGTAATCACACAAAATTAAATCAAGTTTAATATCAAAGAACCATCACTTTAAGCTTGATTCATATGGGTTCAGATGATCATGCTACACTACATCAGATCAACAGAATCACAGCACAGCCATCTGAATGAATAGATAGTAGTCTGGGTAATTGGGAACATGCTTTAATTTAATTTTTGGTTGATCCGCTTCCATAAGTGGAGAATATCATCTCATATTGTCGAAAAGCCCACCTGGACAGTCAGACGGAACATCGACATTCGTTGCCATGGGTACGCAGCGTCTGTATAATTTAGGAACGGATGCAGGACTAAACAAGTCATTGACTTGATTTGCAGGCATCCAAAAATATTTGAAATGCCTGTCTTCATTCAGACAGTGACTCAACGGCTTACAGGGTAAACACCACATAAAGACATCCCCAAAATATATACTTTATTCAAGATCAATTATTTTTATTCATGAGGGTTTCCAATAGATTAAGCTGAAGTGGTTGCTTATAATGGCTCGTGTTCTATTTTTAATAATGATTTACAGTGCTAAATTTCTCAGGGCATGGCCATGCTTCGGAGAATTTCAGTCTCATGTCAGAGCTGAACCAAACGAGAATCTGAGGCAATTTCAGTGAGTAGACCTTCACCAGGCAAAACACAAAGCATTTAATAAGAACATAAAGGGATGCCATTTGTATAATCCGAAAGTATACTACTTAAAGCATTTATTTAAAAAATTTGTTGGTTAGCATCCCCGCCAGCCCCAGAAAAACCCTCCCATCTCTGATTTAAAAAAAAAAATGCGAGTGAAAAAAAAATTAGTTTGAAAAAATCCATTTAAATCATCCCAACAAGAAAGTGAGAAAAATGCTTTGTCCCTGTCCATGCAGCAGACGACCTGTTCGGCTTTCAATCACTGCGCCACTTATGGGCCAGCAGCTGGGATTCTTTATGTCAATACACGTACCTGTGTTTTGGATTTGTCGAGCTATTTGGAGCTCAGACTCACATCATCAAAAAACAAAAAATTACAACACCTCCCACACTCCCCTGAAAATTGAAGTGTGAAGTATGCTGACCAACCGATGTTTTTTTATATACGGCCTAAGCGCAATTGGCCACACGTCAATCCACAAAAAATGTAGTGTGACACACAGTGATGCATAAAGGAACTATATAATGAATCACACTGCCATTAGTTAGCCAATGGGTCTATCCAATGAAACCTACAGTTGTTCAGACAAAATGGGCGAATCCACTCAGCAGTAATGTGGCCTGAAGGCCCTTCATAAAGGGCCCAGGAGCTCCTGCGATGGACCTGCACCAGCAGAGGGACGTTGACCAATCAAGCCGCAGTCAAAACACCAGAACCGCTATGCTACAGGCTATACCGCGCAATGTGAATGACCTCATAGCAGCTGAATCACACAGTTACCGAACAGAGGCAACAACCCAACATAATTCAACACTCTCGATGAACTCAAAACGATACAGCGAGGAAGGAGGCCAACTCAAATGTTGCAGTGTACTTATCAAGCAAAAGTTCTTGCCATCATCTTACCAGAGGCTGCTGAACCCAGCCCAAAAACATGGGCTAACATCTTCATATGATGCAAGAGGTTGTGCAACGAAGGATATAAATTAAGGGTTAAAGATGATTGAAACCAGCAACCAGCAACCTTTGGGGTCACTGAACCAAAAACAAGGCAGCCGTCGCTCTCTTTAGCCCGAGCGCCACCAGGAAGGGCCACGTTATGCAATCGACCCCCACGAGTTCGTTCACCTGCTCGTCAAATAATGTGATGACAGAAAACTATACGCCAGGATCCAGCTACAGAGGAAAGAGGGATGAGAAAAGAGAGGCTCACCGCTCTTCATCATTCCCACTTCGAAGCACTTCCGAAGACGACAGGCCTGGCAACTCTTGCGTCGGTTCTTGTCGATCGTGCACTGATTGGTCGCCGGGCAGATGTAGTCGTTGTGCCCTTGTTCCAGTGAAACAGGGAAGAGCGCACATCAGTCAGGACAACACCTCGGACATCGTCCAAGAACAACAAATCTGATACAGCACAGCTGAGGTTGCAGCAAGTCTTACATCACATTACTAGGACTTAAATCGCCAACAGCCAAAGTCCCAGTTAAAGGTGCTGGGCTATCGGTCACCCCCTGTTAGCTTTAGGATGTTAGAGTGCACTTAAAGAAAGTACTGTAGTCAAGGCAAAACAGGCATAGAATAAAAAGTGACAGATCATACAAAAAAATATGCTGCACATTGATTCCTCTAGAAACACATGCCTTGAAACCAAAGAGGTGTAAAAGACATTGATTTGTAGGTCAAATCCATAGACTGAGGTCAAAGCATGTCTATTAAAATTGATCTGATATTTTGTTAATTGTACCATGCGATTTGCTCTATGTTTGGAAAGTTCCACTGAACAATCCATTGACGGAATAATAGTTCTGGCCCTGTTCCGCGTAAAGCACTTTGGGTCAATCTCGACTGAGAAAAGGGCAAAACAAATAAAATTTAATTGAACTGAATTGAATAGTAAATTAATTTATTGATTTATGTTGCACTTCATTTGTTTTGAATTTAAGTGGGGTGGAAAGGTGGTCATTTTGCCATCACTGTGATTGTATACATGCTTCATTTTGATCAAAATGGTCTGAATTTCCATATCATGCCCTCATTATGTTTTACATATTTTAAAAAATGACAGCAAAAAAAATTCGCAAAAAGATGTCATGGCACCAGGCAGCTTCAATTCCTTTGACGATTTTTAAAATTGCAGTGTCACCAAGTCTAAGACAGGTCAGAGATTTCTTTGCCTGATTGATGATTCTGAGTAATTCCTTATTACCGTTTTGTAAACAGCGAGAGACAAAGTCTGACACTGTCCTTCTTAAGTGTGGTCAGATAACATCACCCTCGCGGTAGTAGCGGCGATATTAGCGGGGGTGAGGGGGAGAAACCTCAATGCACAGACATAGAGTGAGTGAAGGGTAATTAAAAAAAACTTACAGTCCTAATAAGAGTGTGGAGACTTTTAATATCTTGAATACTCCTCTCAACGAAGGCCAGGTGAAAAAAGTCCACAGTATTAAGAATGGTGTGCAGATTTTTGATACCCTGAACCCTTCTCTTAAAGAATGCCAGTTAAAAACAGGCAGTCTTAATCCCTCTATGCAAACTCCAAATGAAGCAATCCTTGCCTGTTGTCCAAGACCCTATTTAAGTCTTTATAACTCAGGATTTGTGTCACAGAGACTGGAAATATTATTTCAAAGAAGTAAGACGCTTGTCTCATTTGGAATTTCAATCACAGAATTATTTAGCAATTCAATCTCAGCATTTTGTAGACACCAGGGTCTATTCTGTGCAAGGGGGTTAATAATCATGGGTAAACTTTTAATACCCTGAATACTCCTCTTAAAGACAGGCAGCTAAAATGGCTGTGTCAGGAAGGGTGTGTAAACTTTTAATACCCTGCACACTCCTCTTAAAGACAGGCAGCCAAAAATGGCTGTGTCAGGAAGGGTGTGTAGACTTTTAATACCCTGCATACTCCTCTTAAAGACAGGCAGCTATAAATGGCTGTGTCAGGAAGGGTGTGTAGATTTTTAATACCCTGAATGCTCCTCTTGAAGAAGGCCTTGCAGCCCTCGCACGACCAGACTCCGTAGTGGTAGCCCGAGGCGTAGTCGGCACAAACCGCGCAAAAGTGCACATCCGTCTTCTCTGTGGGGCCCCCCAGCGAGGGGCCATCCCCCCGCTCCACCACGCTCCTCGCCTGGCAGCCCTCGAGCTCACTGTTGGGACAGGAAGACAGCACGGTGAGGCAGGGGTCGGCGGGAGAGGTGGAAACTTTATGGGGTCAAAAAGTAAAATTTCCATTTGCAACCGACTGACGCACCCGGCGGATTTCATCAGTTAGCTGGCCAGCTATGCTAATTAGTCAATAAAAAGTAACTGCAACAGTACTGTTGTTGACTTGTGCAACATAAACCAGGATTTTCCATGAGCAAGCAATGATAAAGACTCTAAACACTTCGTACACCTCTTTTAAACTACGTAGCTCAATCCCTCTGACGAGTGTTTCGCAAAGTATCGTTCTGCGTTCACACAGAAACCACACTACAAAGCAGGATGCCACCTACAGCTTAACAAAATTCTAGAGGCTTTTCTTAAGTGTCTTGCAAGATTCTCCGTCCAAAATGTCCAAATTCTGATCCGTTTCATAAGGTACGTGTAAGGCAGACTTATTAGGCTTTTGGATGATGGCAGTGTGGTGCAGTATTAACCCTTCAACAGATCACAAGTCATTTTTCTCACCATTGACAGACAGGTAGAGTGACAGTATTTATAAAGTTGCTGAAGTATTTATTGTAACCACAGTTATGGTTAATACAAAACACTTAATACAAAAAAAATGGGCATTAATTGATCATTTACTTTTACATTATTGTTTACCTAATTTAGAGTCTGACCAAGCATGCTTGTTTTTGGACTGTGGGCAGAAACCCACGCAAACAGACAGAGAACATACCAACTCCACAAAGAACGCCCAGGATTGATTTGAACCTGCAACCTTCATGCTGTGAGGCAACAGTGCTACCCACTGCACCACTGTGCCATCCTACATCAGTACAAATACACACAATGTTTTGCTTTGTAAAGTAATGACAGTGCTTGCCCTAAGGTGATGTCATAAGAGGTATCAAAAAAACTGTCAAGGTAGGAGTGAGGAGGTGTGGTCATGAGAGGGCGGAGCATGTACCTGCCTCTGGGCAGGGCACTGTGAGGCTTAGGCTCCGCCCATGAGCTGTGGGAGGGCTCGACACATGGGGTCAGGGCCTGGTGGCAGTGCAGGGTCCCGGGTGAGAGGCGGGCATGGGGGGGCCACCGAAACGCCGGCTGGGGGGAGGGACACTCGGGGCTGCCGAATCCCAGCATGGTGCCCGGGCTGTACAGGGCGAGGGTGCTCAAATCGTGGCCGCGGTCCACGTAGGGCGCGGGGATGCAGATGGCCTCGGGTTCGACGGTCTGAGGGGGCAGGGTGCCGGAGTAAACGGGCGACAGCATGCGGGCACAGCCCCGCCCAGGCTCCGCCTCCAGCCTCTGCAGCAGCTGAGGGCCCCGCATCAATGGGACGGACATGCCAGAGGACCAATCGGAAACCTCCACTGAGACTATGTCATTGTCCGCACAGGTACACAGCGCTAAAGGTAGCCTACTGCAGGAGAGAGAGAGAGAGAGAGAGAGAGAGAGAGAGAGGTTTAGAAAAAAGTGGGAAATAGAAGGGAGAGGCAGTTAAATACAGTCAGACATACAGAAAGACACACAGAAGTACAAGCAAAAAACAACAGAAGAGACTGGGGAAAGGGTCAGTAGAATCAGAAATCAATACAGCTATACACACACACACACACATTTACACTTTTATACATACACCACACACACACACACACACACACACACACACACACACACACACACACACACACACACACATACAGAGCTTTGCTTTTACTGCACTTGAGCGGATCAAAAAATATTTCGGCAAAAAACCTTTCCCAACCCACTACAATCCTTTCCTAAACCTAATCCCAATTTTTTTTTACTTAATTTAACACCTAACTCTATTCTTAAACGCAGTGCTAATAGCCATCAAGACCTAATCATGACCATAACTCAAAATTTAACTCAAGACCAAAACCACGCCTCTACCCCAGAATTAAACCTTTTCCCTTTTGTACCCAGAAATGTCCCCACAGTGCTGTTTTTTTCTTCCAGAATTTACTAAACTTGTGGGGTCTTCATGTCCTCAAAAGTACAGTAAAATAAGAACACACGACACACACGCTCATGCGCTCTCACGTGCTAGCTTTTACACTTATACACACAAATATTACACATTACATGAGAAAATGTAACACATTAAATTATAGCCTGATCAAGCTTCAATGTTTGGAGAAAAAAAAAAAAAAACTGATTTTCATAATCATGCTTATTTCAGCAGACATCCAAAGAGCATCTTCAGTGCACCCCATAAATCTTACCGGTGATGGCCAGCCATAATTTAATACAACCTGCCAGTTAATGAATTATGTAAACATATTTCTTGCCCTCATCATAACTATAAAAGATCACAGAGCGCTTTGCACTGTCAGTCCAGCTAAGCTAAATATATCCTGACAGTTATATGCGATGCTGTGTTGATTTTATGCATTTATTCAAAGCTGTTTAATGTCAATCAACATCACATGCTGTTGAATGTGACTATGAAAACCGAAGATGAATAGTGACACCAGATATCCATGTAGTTGAAATACTTCCCTTCGGGAAATTCTTAGCTTGAAACCTTCCAAGTTAATGTTTTTCAATGAATCCTTCGCAGATGAGAAAAGTAAGGTTTTCCCCAATTTGCAAGCATTAATTTACCAACAAAATTTTCATTGACTTCAATGTCCAAAGTCAACATAGCTAGCAGTGCCACTTTTTTCTGCAGCACTGGACTATAAAAAAAAAAAACTTTAAATGAACCAATATTGCTCAGACTCGATTCCTTTGATTGTTCAGTTGTAGGCTCAAGCATATTATAAAATAAACTGTATGAATGTAGAACTGTCCAGAAACAAGGATCCAGCATCTCAATTTCCCTTTCGAATAAAAAGATCCAAATAACCGCCAATAAATTAAAGCCAAAATCACGGCATTCATTATTCTGCAATTTAGCACAGACAGATTCTGGAGTCATCATAAAATAAGCGCACATGATAAAGACAAGCCGTTAAGCCGCTTCGCGTCAGGGTCCTACATCACCCTGAAGGGGTTTATTTCTCTATAGTGACTGGCTCGCTCTATATTATCCCGCTTATTACATGGCTACTCACTAAAGAAATCAAAAGTTTGACATAAAATGTTGATCTAAATATGATTTTATGATTTAAAAAGTTTTCATTGCTTCCGCTTGAAAAAATAGTCCGCGGCTTGAAAAAATAGTTCGCTCGTTTCTACCGTTGGAACTGTAACTGTAAGCAACAGTAACTCCGAAGCGTCCATAGCAACGGTCTGCTATACAGAAATAACAGACCTTAGAATGTTGTAATTGACCAATCAGGATCGAGCATTTGACAATGCTGTGTAATAATATTTCTATAATGATTCAGGAATGAAATTAATAGCGGTTAAACGAGAACTTCTGTCGTGTTCAGAATTAATGGCATATTTCCATTAAAAAGTGTTTGCATGCCTATGAGTAAATACAGATACAAAACAATTTAAAATGATTTCCACAAGTTCACATTCATTAAGATAAATGTGCAGATGCTAACACTAAATCAATTAAAATAATCCTGAAAATTTATAGTATAAAATTCCATTCCGCCAGCAAGGGGGCCACAGGGTCAAATGATTTTTGGTGTGTTTCTGAACAACATGTTCATTTAAAAGGGGACTCCAAAGAACAAGATTTAGGATCATTCCCGTTAATTTTTTTGTAACAAAACACATCCAGACAGTTTTCCAAACCGTCCTTTCTGTCTAGAGTTATCATGAGTTGCTATGTGTTAGCCTATTCGCAGATTCGTGCAATCAAACCGCTTCAAGTGCCCCCGTCGTCACTTTTGTCTTTAAAGACATGACTCTTGCATTCAAAGCAAATTAATCATACAGTAAACCATATTTACACACACACACAAAGTCAGTTGTTTATCACGTTATAGTTTATTATGCCCTTTAGAATAAGTTTCAAAACTATCGGAACCCGTCTCGATTTTACCCGCCCAAGCCCCAGCCAGAAGATTCAGCTGGATTGTTCAAAAAGACAGAATACACACCTACCAGATAAACAACCAACTTCGCAAGAGAAAATAAAGTTTGCAATGTGATTTGATTACTCAGAATTCCAGAATCATGTTTTTGAAGACAAAAATGATGACATGGGTACTGAAGGCTGTTTGGTTTCATGAATCCACTCACAGGCAGACACATAAAACCTCTGATTACTCTATAGATAGGAAGGACCATTTGCTAAACTGTCTGAAGGGGTTCATTTACTCAGAAAACGAATGGCAATGAGCCCAAATAGTGTTTTGGGTGGAGTACTCCTTTAAGTAACTGACTGGTGAAAGAGACCACATACCTTGTTTTTGAAGGTATTAACCCTTAGGGTGCAGAAATAAATTTTCAAATGCTTACAAATGTAAATATCTTGAGCTTTTGAAAAACTATCATGTGGCGACTTGTTGACAAGAGCTCCCCTGCAGAAGCTCTTGTCAACAAGTCGCCACATGATAGGTTTTCAAAAGCTCTGATTTTATTTCATCATATCAGCGAGCAGCCAATGCTGCATTTAGCACTTAAATGGTTAATAAACTGCTGATTGAAGAGAGACCACGAAACCCTGAAGAACTCTGTTGCCGGTGCCCTCCTGTAGTTTGACAATTTGACAGCCCTGATTATTATCATTCGGCGAGTATAAGAGTCTGCAGAAGTTATTTTATGCAGTTGATGATGCAACACTTATTTTTTAAATGATCACAGCGGGAATATAAGCCTAATTAATTGAACATATGAATTCCATACATTTACTTCAGTGTCGCCACGTTCAGGACAGGCTTCCGTCTCCACATGTCACAGCTGCACTCGCGCAGGCTGAGCGTTGCCATGGCAAAACCCTTGTGTTTACATAGTACAGGGATCATCCAGCACCCCGTACATACCGGGCCTCGACTCATTCAGTAAACGTTGCCTGGCAACCTAGGGCCTTACCAAAAGTCTCCCTGACCTAACACGCAGGCAACAAAACGCATATCGCTCGCGATTTCTCAACAAGCTTGAAGGGAAACCATGAATCCGTCGTAAATTTGTGGTTAGGCATCATCTGTATTTTCGGTTGGCGAGGGAAAAATGGCAATTTTTTCCCGCAGCGCATTGCAGGCATTTTACCAAACTAATTAGAGTTTGCTTCTTGAATACAGTTGTAGGAAAAAGTTGAGCTTACCTCCACGAATAGACTGTTTCAGAGTTCTGTTTCATTTCGTGGGTACAGTTCGCTACATTGCTCCCTCCCTCTGGTCTCTGGCATTCAACAACAAAGGGACTAAAAAATTGCACATGCTCTGTGCAAGTATTTGATGTTTCAGCCACTTACATATTTTTCAAAAACGTCATGATGGCATGTTGTGCTCAGTGTAATTAAGCAATTAAGGCCAGAAGTTAGCATGACGACCAGAAACAGATAAGGGCCTCATTGTCCACCTGGTCAACTCAATGGCTCCTCAAATCCAAATCCAGGCCGGGTTTTCTACTCTCCCTGTTAAAGGGGTTGCCACTAGAAAGCCGCTCATAAAAGTACTGAGACAGATAGCGAAAAGCGCATCTTATTTTAAGAAGTTACCTTTATTCCTGTGACTATTAAAAATCCCCAAAGCAATGAAACATAAACATTAGTCATTGGGAGGATTCCATCACACAAACTTGGGCAAAACTCCAGTCCTTAAAAGACAGGCCAACTAGCAACACCTATGGCAATTCTAGGTTGGCAGTGTCCAGTCTGTGAAAACTGAGATTACAGCAACAGGAATCTATGGTACATAAATTACCCAAGGCATTGAAAACATAATTGCAAAC